CTTTGTGGGTTGTACCAAGAGGGAGATTAAGTGTTTCTCCAGTGAGACTGGTCTATCAGGGCAACATGGTCTACTCAAATATGGGAGAGAGTATACTGCTTCCGCATTTGTGAGGTCCCTGATAGTCTTTGAGCTTATTTGTTTTCTTGCAAACATTTCATTACCCAACTAGGCAACATGATCCATGCTAGAAGGGAGTGGGGTTTGCTTTCTCTTTATATATTGACTTTCCCTGTCAGTGTTGGTAGAAGTGTTCTTGGTGATTCAGTAAACAGGCTAATCAAGGAACCACTAAACCACCAAACCACCAACATTGACAGAGAAAGCCACTTGCATATAAGCGGAGACCAAACCCCACTCCCTTCTACACTGATGATGTTACCTAATTGGGTAATGAAATGTCTGCAAGAACACAGGCAAGCTCAGAGAGCACCAAGGACCCCACAAAGACAAGCAAAAAGATGGGACAGAATTTATTCTTATTCTTGTTGTCGTTATTGTTGTTGTAGTGCCAGAGGATATAAACTGTTCCAAGTAGGGTGTTTTTTTGTAGAATCGGGGTATTCAAGTCTGATAAATTTAGGATTTCCAAATAGTGAGGTAGCCCTTTAGGTATTGCTCCAAGGGCTCCAATAACAATTGGGATAACACATGATTTCTTTTTCCAAAGTCACTCAACTTCAATTTGTAAGTCCTGGTTCTGTGTGATTTTTTTCTTCCTGCGTGTCTATTATTATTATTATTATTATTATTATTATTATTATTATTATTATTAATCACACACAGGCAGCCAGATGTTCTGACTGGGTTTGGCATTTTTGTCTACCTATCGAGTCCTTACCAAGGACCTGGGATAGGCAAATCTGGATGTTTGATGGGGTTACAGATATCACTGCAGGATGAAATCTGTTCCAAGTAAAGCTGCTTTCTACAATTGACTGATGGCAAAATTGTCAATGCCTTTAGTGTTCAAGTGGTGTTCCGGTTGTTTTGGGACTGCATCCAAGGCACCTATTACTATTGGTACTACCCCTGCTTGCCTTTGCCGTAGTCATTCTATTTCTATTTGTAGGTCTCTGTATTTTGCTATTTTTTCCAGTTCCAGTTCTGTCTTCTGCTGTCTCCAGTCACTGCCACATCCACTATCTAGACTTTTTTGTCTTTCTTATTAACAACTATTAAGTCCGGGATATTATGTGGCAGGTGCCAGTCTGTCTGGAGTCTGAAGTCCAAGAGCAATTTAACTTTTTTCATTTTCTAGGATTTTTTTCTTTTTTATGGTCCCACCAGTTCTTGCTTACAGGCAAATGATATTTCTTGCAATCTTCCAGTGCACCATTGTTGCTACTTTGTCATGCTGCTGCTCGTAGTCAGTTTGTGCAATCTTCTTGCAGCAGTTTACCAGGTGGTCCACTGTTTCTTCAGCTTCTTTGCATGAGTGGCATTTACTGTCTGTTCCTGTCTTCTCAATTCTGGCTTTGTATACATTTGTCCTTAAAGCTTGGTCTTGCGCAGCCAAAATTAATCCCTTGGCCTCTTTCTTTAACTTTCCTGCTCTTAGCCATTGTCAGGTCTTGTTATTATCTGCTTTCCTGCTATTCTTTTTAATGTATGGCCATTGTAGTGCTTTGTCTTCCCATGCCTCCATTCTGTTCTTCATTTGGTCTTTCTTGTAGGCCAGTTTGGTCTCTCTGGTAGTCAGCAAGCCTTCCTGGCATATTAACTTCAGTGCATCGTCTTCATTGTCCAGATATTCTTCCAACATCCATTTTTCTTCTTCGACTATCTGATGCACTTGCAAAATTTCACGCCTACCTATTTGCCTTGGTATTATTATTGTTGTTGTTGTTGCTGCTGCTGCTATTATTATTATTATTATTATTATTATTATTATTTTTATTTTTATTTTTATTATTATTCACAAAGAACAACAGTGTACACAGCAAATGAGATAACTATGCTGGGTTTTGTATCACAAATCACTAGTCGAACACTTCCCAAGCATTTAGGACTGCATGATGTATCGGCAAATTATGCAAGCAGATCCCAGTAAGGTGGCCTTCTGCAGCTGACCAATGGTGATTTTGTCAGCGCCAATTGTTTTTAAGTGCTTGCCTAGGTCTTTAGGCACAGTACCCAGTGTGCCGAGTACCACTGGAATCACCTGCACTGGTTTATGCCAGAGTCTCTGCAGTTTGATTTTCAAGTCCTGATGTGATTTTTTCAAGTTGTTTCTCATCGATTCTGCTGTCATCAGGTATGGCAATGTTGACGATCCACACTTTTTTCTTCTCCACAATCATGGTATCCAGTATTGCGTTCCAGAACTTTATCAGTCTGTATTCAGAAGTCCCACAGTTGTTTTGCATGCTCATTTTCGACCACTTTTTCAGGCTTTTTCAGTTCTTTGCTACAGGCAGATGTTAGTTGTGACACAAATTCCAGTGGACCATCTGAGCGACTGTGTTGTGACATTGTTTGTAGTCAGTCTGAGTGATTATCTCACAACAGCTCAGTATGTGATTGATGGTTTCATCCACTTCTTTGCAGAGTCTGCATTTGGGGTCATCAGCAGATTTTTCTATTCTGGCTTTGATTGCATTTGTTCCGATGGCTTGCTCTTGTGCTGCAAGAATCAGGCCTCTGTCTCTGTCTCTTTCTTCAGTGTCAGCCATTATATTATTATTATTATTATTAGTAGTAGTAGTAGTAGTAGTAGTAGTAGTAGTAGTAGTAGTAGTAG